CTATCTGTCCCAACCCCAATCTCAATCCGAATTCCTCACAATCCCCATCCTATAGCAGCATGGCCCCCGATTAATCAAACCAAACTCTATCGGTCCCAATCCCTATTGGTCACAGTCCTCGTCCTCCGTCTCCTAGACCTCCCCGATCCTCGATGTCACACTGCTGGTTCGTGTTGTCGCTCCTCCCACAAGTCCTTCATCTCCGGATTGGTCGCTGCTAGCCATGGCCTGTTTGTTCTACACATCCTGAATGGCCTGACACTGGAAGATAAAGAGGAGAAGGAAGTGGCATTTGAGAAGAGGGTGTGTGCATGGAGAGGGTAGAAGGGGGAGCGAAGGGAAGAACGAAAACATGTAGAGCGAGCAAGCATGCACACATGCACACATGCGCGCGCGCGCGCGCGCGAGAGAGAGAGAGAGAGAGAGAGAGAGAGAGAGAGAGAGGGCGAGAGAGAGAGAGAGAGAGAGAGAGAGAGAGAGAGAGAGAGAAGGCAGTTAGGATTCTCCTGTTAGCACTGGAAGCCATGCCCTTGACTCTCCCTACCTGACATCATCACCCTTCCCGTATGAAATGGAACATCAAGGCCAATCGGTTGTGTTGACATGATTATCACAGGTACTTCTCCTGCTCGACATCACTGTCACCATCACCATCAGCCGTGCCATTGGACTCATCTGTGTTGTCATCGGATTGCCCGTTGGACTGGCTCTAGGGTAAGCCAGAATGCTCACCATCATCCACGCCATGGCGTCCACAGCGCCATGGTGCGCTGTTGCCACTTCTTGTTCCTGCAATCTTGCACCTCTGGGCAGCCACTATAATGCCCTATCCAAGGCCGATGAGTAACTAGCAGGAAAATCCCATGCCTGCAAGCTACACGAAATGAGGAAAGAGAAACAGATAAAAGAAGACTTAAAAGCAGGAAGAAGGTTCGCGGCACAGCTAAGGCCGAGGCTGACAGGGATCTAAGAAGGGAAGGAAAGCTGACAGTAAATCCTCCAGGATATGGAGGAATCAATGTGGATCAGGGGTCCTTTGGCCTGAGCAGAAGGAAGTCTGAGAGAAAGTAGACAGTAAGGCAGGCGGAAGGAGAGAGATTAGGAAAAGAGGTACTATGCTATTTTTAGACCTTGTCTGCCTGTTTGACCTCCCATCTATGAGAATTAAACATCAGCTTCCAACAACCTCCTTTTTTTTTTTTTTTGGAACCTGATGGTTCTGGCTCCATGTCCATTCTGGGAAGCGTCAGTCCAGTTCCTTTTCCACCGGCAAGTCACTGGAATACAATGTTTACTCATACAACGCTCCTCCCCATTATGACTGGAAGGCCCGAGTGGATGGCATCCTCATTTCCTTGTCATATCTGGTAAGTAGTCTAGCTGGCTCCTCGCATCAATGAGAATGAAACATCAACTTCGAACAACCTCCTTTTTTTTTTTTTTACCTGATGGTCCACCGGCGGGTCACTGGAATGCAATGTTTACTCACACAGCACTCCTCCCCATTTTTTTGTGGCTGGATGGCCCAAGTGGACGGCGTCCTTATTTACCTTGTCATATCTGGTAAGTAGTCTGGCTGGCTCCTCCCATCAATGAGAATTTTGTTTTTTGAACATGATGGTTCTGGCTCCGTGTCCATTCTGGGGAGCGTCAGTCCAGTTCCTTTTCCACCTGCAAGTCACTGGAATACAATGTTTACTCACACAACTCTCCTCCGCATTATGGCTGGACGGCTCGAGTGAACGACATCCTCATATACCTTGTCACCTCTTTCTGCCAGTTTCTGGTTCCTCCACAGGGTCGCATTAGAAACAGCAGTCATATCTGGTAAGTAGTCTGGCTGGCATGCAAGGATGACAACAAAAACTGATATCCTGCTAATCTGGGTATGGGTGCAGGCACTTCTGGTCACATCAGTGATATCCTATGTCGCTACAGACGACAAAATGGAGTTAAGGGAGTTGTATGCTCCACGCACTAAAGCATGTTTGACAATTTCGTAGTACAGAAGGCAGTACAGACTACTTTCTTTCTTTTGTTTTTTTTTGTTTCTTTTCAAAGATCTGGTCCAGGCTGTTAGCAGTGCGTGAATGATGGTTTTTCGTGCTGTTCATGTGATTTGTGACTTTCTGCAATCATCAGGCCCATCAGCATTCCTGCCACTGGACGAAACCTAGGATTCCCCTTTAGTTACATGCATCCCACATCCCCAAATCTTGAAGAGGTGATGAGAAGGTACGCAGGCACTTCAGTTGCACATTCTAGGAATGATGGCATTCAATGGTTGTGTTTATGAACCACCGCCCGGCCCAGACAGACCGGGGGGCCTCCGCTCGGCAAAACCGGGCGGCCTGAAAAGTGTCCCAGAACTATTATTGTTTTTTTTGAAAGTGGGATATTGCTGCGGTTGCCAAGAGCAGCCCAAAACCGCTGAGAAACTGGTGAAAGGCATGTTGGGTGGGTGGGTTGTTTGGGGGGGGGAGGTTGACAGGGGGGATAAATGGGTGTGTTGTAGGTGTTTCACAACAGCAGCAGCAGCAGTAGCAGAAGAAGAAGCTGAAAAAAAAATAGAAAGAAGAAAGGAGGAGGAGGAGGAGGAGGAGGAAGAAGAAGAAGAAGAAGAAGAAGAAGAAGAAGAAGAAGAAGAAGAAGAAGAAGAATCAAACTGGCAACCATCAGGAGAGGACTGATAATAAAAAAGCAGATGACCACTCTCAGAAACGAAGTTTAATGGCCAGAAATTTGAGTATCAAAGTCTCTCTCTCTCTCTCTCTCTCTCTCTCTCTCTCTCTCTCTCTCTCTCTCTCTCTCTNCTCTCTCTCTCTCTCTCTCTCTCTCTCTCTCTCTCTCTCTCTCTCTCTCTCTCTCTCTCTCTCTCTCTCTCTCTCTCTCTCTCTCTGTGTGTCTCACGTACACACACACACACACAAGTGTGCCGCTTTGGCGGCAGACGGCTGTGTCGGCACTTGGCGCTGAACCACACAAACGTGGCCAACCTTGCATTTTCTATTATATTGCCTATCTATAGTTTTTCGTTATGTATGGCTTGTGATGATTTGTGAAGGGAATAAGAGAGAGAATCTTGGGTCTTTTAAAACAACACACACTCCGCTCTTGCTAGCTCTGTCTTGGCAGATTTGAGCTGCTAGGATCCGGCTCGTACTACCGTGCTATTCTCTCTTTTTGTGGTTGGATATGTCTTGTTGGTTTTGTTGATTATACACGGCCTAATTCTTTGCCCTGCTTTATAGCATGGGATGTTTGGATGTTTACGGGTGGCCACGAGTTCTCTTTGGGGGGAATGTATGTTTCGTGGGCCGGCGTGGAAGGCTTTCCCAGTTTTTTTGGACCCTTAGCAGGGGCAGGTCGGTGCGTTCTTGCTGGAGGAGTCTTCTGTCTTAGGTAAGTTGCCTGTTATCTTCTTCCTCCTCTTTGGCAGTGATGCGGGAGTTTAGTTTGAGATGAATGTTGGGAATGCCAATGCTGTTATGTTTGATAGTTTTTGGTAAATGAGTTTTTGGTTTTGTGGGCCGATGCGGAAGGCTCTCCAAGTTTTTTCAGACCTTTGAGGGGGTCGGGTCGGTGCCTTCTTGCTGGAGTACTCTTCTGTCTTAGGTAAGTTGCCTACTGCCCTCCATCCCCTTATGGTTTGAAATATATATCTATACATATGTACATGTGGAAGTGTGCCGCTTTGGCGGCAGATGGGTGTGTGGGCACTTGGCGCTGAACCACACAAACGTGGCCAACCTTGCATTTTCTATTATATTGCCTATCTATATTTATGGATGGCTTGTGATGATTTGTGAAGGGAATAAGATAGAGAATCTGGGGTCTTTCAAAACAACACACACACACACACACACACACTGTTACATGCTGCACCTGCAACAGGCTGCACGGGCCATTTTCAGGCCCGTGTTGTTTTCAGCCCGAAAGCCTGAAAACAAGGGCCTACAGGCCCTGTGTCGTCTCAGCCTAAAACAGGGCCTTCCCGGCCCTGAGTCTTTTCAGCCTGAAACTGAGGGTCATTTTCAGGCCCTCATAAGATCGACCTGCCCTGAAACTCAGGCACCAGACCAGGGTTTTAACACAGGCCATTTTTGGCCTGTTTTCAAGACAACCCTTGGTTGAGCTTCAGTGCCAGGGTCTGACACGTTTTGGCATTGGCAAGAGCAGCCTCCTGGACGGGCCAGCACTATATAGGACTGGCCCGCCCTGCAGACTGCAGGTAGTTCCTAGGTACTTCCCAGGCACTCACGTGCAGTTCAGGAGGCAGGAGGTAGTCTTCAGGATCCGGCAGCAGCACTCTGGAGGAGCGCTGCAGGAGTAATAGTAGCGCTAGCAGTAGTCTTCAGCGCTGGGCGCTAGTAGCGTTAGCAGTAGTCTTCAGCGCTGGTTCGCTAGTAGGAGCTGGAGTAGTACCGGAGAGAGAGAGAGATTGGGCGGAGGCCAGGGAGACTTACCTGCAGCGCCATAGCTCCAGCTTCGTCTTCGAGGTACCTGCAGCGCAGCGCCACCTTCACAGGTTAGTACCTGGCATATGAGAGAAAGAGAGAGAGAGTTCTCCTTCTTCCACCATCTCCCTCTCACCCTCTCGCCACCTGACTTCACTGCATCAGCAGACTATGAGAGAGAGAGAGAGAGAGAGCCCGGTGGCATTTGGACCCAGACTCGACATGGACTTCAGGCAATTTGACGAGGGATTATTTGGGACTTGTAACGAAGACTTGGTGTTGAAGACTCTCCCATCTCCCCCCTCCTCTTCATCGTCTGTTTCCCTCCTCTTCGTCTGTGCATGAACTGGACCTGGCACATTCTTCCTGTGTGTAGCGCCAGGCCTCTTCACACCTTGTGACAAGGATGATGTATGTTTGGTCTGTACTGCGACATTGATTGGGCTAGTCCTTGGTATTCTAGCATTCCACTGCGCTGTCTTGCATTACGTGAAAGAGGTCAGTCCCGGTCAGATCAGGACTTATATCTAAGTCTTTTGCTGCGCCACAAGGCGCCATTTTGTATGTATCAGGATGTACATTGCTTGTTGAGATTCCACTAGCACTGTATTGTTCATTCGGTCCTTTTTATCACATTGCGGATCCTTGCAGTAACCCCGTTCAGAGGCAGCCTGGGGCCCAGAACTTCGCCCCAGGCAACGCTGACCTGGGTTGGTCTGCGCTGGGCTGTGTGACCAAGACGCCGCCCAGGCCTGAGTCTGCTGCGTTTGGCTGTGTGACCAAACGCTGTATACCGGAAATTCAAAGGCCAAAGTCAACTGTAGAGTCAAAGGTACCACGCCCAGGCCCCTGGTTGGATACACTCACTTGTTGTGCGCAGGTACCCAGACACTATCCAGGCCGGAGGGAATTCGGTTTCGGATCAATCTGGACCCTCGTTTGCATTGGGATCTGGACGGCTGAGGGATGCAGCATCCGGGGTCCAGACCCCGCGTCAACGCTACATAAGCGCTGACTTCCTGGCTTTGACATTCATTCTGTCTTGCGTTGATGCTGACTTCACGCGTTGACTTCAACACCGGCTCGACGCTGCGACACTGGCATTGTGATTCGGCGAGGCGCTGCTGGTCCGGCATGGTGGCTGGCTTGCTCCTGTCTTCTTGGCATGCCGACGTGGCAGCTGCCATGCGCTGTCGCTGATGTGGCTGCTGCCACTTGTATCATTGGCTGACGTGGCTGCTGCCACGTGTTCTATGGCTGGGACTACGTGATCGGCATTGCTGTTCTGTTTCATCGTCACTTCAGGAGGAGATCAGGAGAGTTCGTGGATATGTACCTGGCTGTCTTCATGTCGACATTTCTCCAGTGCTGATGTGGGACTGATTAGACGTGCCATGTGGCACATTGAGGCTACTTTGGATACTCGTTCAGACTATTGATTATTGAGGTGATAGTAGAGGAGGGAGCCCGAAGCAGGAGTGGGCATTGTACTTTCCTCTCCTTTGTCTCATCTCCCTCCTCTCTCTTCGTCTGTGTATGATTACCTCATCTCATTCTGTCTGGTTACAATTTTGACTATTAGTAATCATCAGCCGATGGACATTTATCTGGGCTTGCATTGTTGACGACTGTCTTCACGATCTGGGTTCATTGCAATTTGGTATCGGAGCAGTTGTCCTGATGACGACGATTGTACATGTGTGCATGCGCCAGGTGGCGCGCAGGCAAGTGTAGAGCACACGTGTGTTGAATAAGTGATGACATGGCAAGAGATACGCCGGGAATGCTAATGTGGCACAGACTTCACTGGCGAGAAGACACTGCTGACGAGGTACAGACTTCGCTGGCCAGAGGACATCCCTACGAGGTTGCTGACGTGGCAGCCGGGATCCCGACGAGGAGTGACCGTGTGCCAGCCTGGATTGTGATAGTGAGGTCGCGATCCCATGCTGACGTGGCATACTATGTGCCACGTCCAGGGACCTGGCTGCTGATGTGGCAATTACACGCTGCATAGGTTGCTGACGTGCGACCAGGTCCCAAACAGGTGCTGACGTGGCCTTTGGATGATGACGCTGATTGTTGACGTGGCGGGGAAGGATCATCATACTAGTCTTCTTGATGTGGTGATCACCTGCTGATGTGGCATTGGCTCCATTGGTTGACGTGACGAAGTGGCAAGTGAGAAGGACAAAACACACACTTGCTGACGTGGCATCCCCACCGCTGGTTGATTGGATATCCATGTGCTGACGTGGCAGAATCTGTTGTGTTGGCACGCCAGGGATGACACATGGCAGGCAGGTGGTTGCCAAGTAAGAGCAGCACTCCGAAGACGACGGCGGTATGGCTGATTGAATGATTAGACAGCTGTAGTGCCAGCTGTCACGAGGGGTGCAACATCACATTGACACCTGGCTTGACTTAGCAAAAGGAAGAAGGGTGCTGACAAATTGTTTGTTGTTGATTGTTGGCATACTTACTTTGTCGTTTGCTGTGTTGTGGTGTTGTGTGTACTTGTGTGTGTATCTGATCACACGGGCATGAGGTGGTACCTGTACACTCTTGTTTAGGACGTCATCACACAGACAGACAAAGAACAACAATAGTTAGAAATAGAAATAATTGTATTTGTTCTTTTTTCTTCGGTTCTTTGAAATCTTGTTGTGGTAGATCAGTGCGGCCGTGGAATTTATTATCGTTAATTAATTATTTATTGTGCGGCAAATGCACGTCACAATGTCTTTTCTCTGGAATTCTCTGAAATTTTCGGTGCTCACACATTTTATTCCTCTTCTCTTCTATCCAGTCTCACTCATGTTTGTTGTTGATGAGGAGACTCCTGACCCCCGAACGAAGCAGCAAGTGAAAGAGCGGAAACAAGTTTTGCTCGCCCGTTTGGACAAACTGATTTCTGAACTTCATGATGCCAGTGAAGAGGCTGAGGCTCACGTTCGGAGCCACTTTGATTTAAAAGCATTGGCGTCATGATTTCGCTGACAATTGTCAAAGTTGCTGACATCATCATTGCATGGATGATTGTCTTTATCAGGAGAACTATCGGCACTAGAAGAAATTGAAGCACTCGAGCGCCCATCCTCTTCCATCTCCTCAATTGAGGTCACATTTTCTCTGGCAAGTCGAAAGTCAACGTAATGGTGGGAAGAATCATGTTCAGGATCCTGGAGTGAATCCCTGGGCACCCATAAGACGCGGTCTACATCAGATGTTGAAATGTCAGTGTCGCAGTCATCAGCTTTATGACATGCATTATCGGATTCAGGTGATATTGTCGGTCGTGGTCGTTGAACGACAGGGGAGCTGCTCTCGCAAGTAGCAATATCGAATTCAAACTCTCTCGTTCTCTTACGAGCAGGCGTGTTGAAGCTGAAGATATTGTCACGAATCACATCTTCAGAATGTGGAGAGCACACAGCGAGGTCGTGCATATCCGCATCATGATGACAATTCGCATCCAGTAGTATGTTAGATGCCACGCAGTCCATACTTGTCGGCATTGGATATTCAGCTCTCCGATACGAAGTGCCCCAAGGCATAATGTGTCTGCGAGGACAAATAAGTCGGTTAATATTATGAAGGTAGGAACACCGTGTTTTCCTAGATGAATGTCAAAGGTTGTCAATTATCCAACGCATGAGTTGGATACCGACTACGCAATACTGAATAGGGCAATTAAATTCTTGTGGTGAAGAAACAAACAACCAATCTTAGAAATTCATGACGCCACCGTTGCCAAAAGCATAACTATAAAACCCTATCATTATAATCTGTTCAGAAACTTAGATCGGAATCGCTCTCGAAGACAGTCATCAGTAACTCCACAACCTCCCTCGTGTCGAACACGACGACTTCTAAACGCATTGTGCAGATTACCGACAACATTGGCACGTTGTTGCCACACTTCGCTTTGAGAACCTTCTATATGTGCCAAACAATCGGCAGTTCCATGTTCGGACCGCCAAAAGCACTATTGTAGGGGACACGCAGATTACCGACAACATTGGCACATTGTCGCCACACTTCGTTTCGAGAACCTTCTGTATGTGCCAAACAGTCGGTAGTTCCATGTTCGGACCACCAAAAACACTATTGTAGGGGACACGCGACAGCTTCCACAGACAGAGTATCCTCGAATGTCGTCGTTCCCTCGAACGTGGAAGGCTAGGCACCTGATTCTATAGTAGACGCATGTCCAACATTTGTCACTCCTTCGGTTAGGCACATGGTAGGCTGAGGCAGTTTGCAGTCTTCGGGACTGACTACCATGCACACACGGCACGTTGTTGGCACGACGACTTCTAAACGCATTGTGCAGATTACCGACAACGTTGGCACGTTGTTGGCACACTTCGCTTTGAGAACCTTCTGTATGTGCCAAACAGTCGGCAGTTTCATGTTCGGACCACCAAAAGCACTATTGTAGGGGACACGCGACAGCTTCCACAGACATAGAGTATCCTCGAATGTCGGTAATCACCTGATACTACAGTAGACGCATGTCCAGCATTTGCCAACATTTGCCGATAGGCTAGGCACCTGATACTACAGTAGACGCATGTCCAGCATTTGCCGCTCCTTCGGTTAGGCACCTGATAGGCTGAGGCAGTTTGCAGTCTTCGGGACTGACTACCATGCACACACCGCACATGAGGCACCTGATAGGGTGATGCAGTCTCCAGTTTTTGTTCAACATTTGTCGCTAGTAGGGGACTGTATCCTCATAGGGGACACACGACAGTTTCCATAGACAGAAAGTATTCTCGAAGGTTGTCATTCCCTCGAACATGGAAGGTTCGGCACTTGACACTACACTAGTAGGGGACTGTATGTCCAGCATTTGTCGCTCCTTAGGCACCTGGTAGGCTGAGGCAGTCTTTGGGATTAACGACTATGCACAAATGGCAGGTTAGGCACCTGATAGGGTAAGGAAGTCTTCACTCCTCGGATTGACCATGATGCACATATGCTATACAGTTGATCCTCTATCCATCAAAAGACAGCACAAAAGAGACATAAGAATGTCGATGCACATATGCTATACAGTTGATACGCTATCCATAAAAAGACAACACAGAAGAGACATAAGAATGCCGAGACATGTTCTCCTCGAAGGCCCACAAGTCCCTTGAACATGGAAGGCTGTGGTTTCTAGATACACAGAATGTGCAATGTCATTGCTTGACCAATATTTGCCCCACCTTCGGTCAGGCACCTTATACGGTGAGTCAATCTTCAGTTTTGGGACTGACCACGACGCACAGTCAGTCGCATGGCTGGCAATCACGTGTCTAGATGTAACAACCACCTCACGCTGTGTTTGTTTGGGCACCTTGCGGGCACCGTGCACCCCCGGTCATCGGGTTGGACACGATGACCATGGCATGCACAGGAGGAAGTGATGTCATATGTTGACTGACAATTGCCCGGCGACATGACTGTTTGGCAGGTTGTATTTTGGAGACGACGAAAGTCGAGCGGCCGAAGAGTTTCAGATCGCGCACGACCGCAACGTCATGCAGAGGTTGTAAGGGGACGCTCACCGGGCAGCTCGACGTGATGGTCATCGAGTTCGACTCGACGAGGACGTCATCACTGGACTTTCTTGAAGAGTTTCAGATCGGGTAATACCGCAAC